GAGAGAGAGAGAGAGAGAGAGAGAGAAAGAAGGGCAACCATCATCCACCCGGGTCCGTCAGTGGCCGAAATCACCACGGATATTAAGTACCACGTCTGCGCCTCGGCGCGCCTCGGCACGTGGTTTGCATCGGTTAGGTCGGAACGGTTAAGTCGGATCGATTAGGTCGTAGGTCGTAGGTCGTAGGTCGTAGGTCGTCGGTCGTAGGTCGTCGGTCGTAAGTCATAGGTCGTAGGTCGCAAGTCGCAGGTCGCAGGTCGCAGGTCGCAGGTCGCAGGTCGGCTGGCGGTGGTGTCTGCGGCCTCCGGATCAACCCAAACCAGAGAGATAGATGGTTTGTCGATTGGGTGTTTACCGTAAAGTACCGGTAGATGCTGCGCTGCCTCTCCGACCCTCCGACTCTCCGAGTCAGATGATCGACAAAAGTAATATCCGCGAATCCATCCCCGTGCAGCTACTCTGTCCGTGGGTGAAGGTGAAACCACCAACCCAGCCTCTCCGCCGGCCATGACCGAGGGCGATCCGGCAAGCCAAGCATGTTCAACTACCCAGACCAGGTACGAAGCAATTGCCATCGCGCCTCTCGCATATACAATTGCTGTACCATAGGGACGTAGTATACAGAGACTGGGGAACGTGGCGGTATGTACCTATGCATGCATTGTTTACATCAACGGTCAATGACGAAGCCGCGTCGTCATACCACTTTCCATCGCATCTGAGCCGCGACGACATACCCGGCGATGGACAGGATCGATGGGATGAACCCGTTTCATTTCCGGATGCGCGCATGGCTCAAGGTTTATTACAGTACCGAGCATACGTAGTAAGTGGGATGCATAAATAGAAGTACGTAGTACTGTAGTAGTCGATGGGGCAGGATGGGTGTAGTAAGCGTAGTAAGCGTAGTAAGCGTAGTAAGCGTAGTAAGCGTAGTAAGCGTAGTAAGCGTAGTACACATAAGGATGTGGATGTCGATGCGGATGTGGATGCTTGTGTGAGCTTCTCATGGAAGGAGGCGAGATGAAACAAAAAGTGACGTGGGGACGATGGAGGATCGGATAACGGATGATCGGATACCATCTGTACGGGGGATAAGTTTAGATAAACGATAAAAAGGAAATACGCTTCTGATATAGGTAGTAAGTAGGTACCGTTACTTGCGTCCGTCACATGATCATCATACTTTTCGTGATCGACCGCAGGACCTTCCGGCAGCTTCAATGACATACATAGTACATCCGCCCATCGCCTTTAACTTCCTTCTCGAAAAACAAAAAACAAAAAAAACAAGACTGCAAAAGATGCCCGAAAGTATCAGAGACGAACGTAGTAGTACCGGTATAGTACGTACCGGTAGTATATCTATGCATGCATGCACAGGAGATCACCAGAACCCTAGGAATGCAACAGTACCCTACCGGTACTTCGCTATCCATATTCCCAACCAACATCTCCAAGCGCAGCGCTACATACAGTACCGTATTATCTCTCATCCAGGCCCGCCGATCACCCAGTCCCCATCTCTTTTCCGAAACGCTCCCAAGAAGTCGTCGACATAGCCAGCTGCCTAATAGATCCATCCCCCCAACCCTCAGACCCCCCCCCCAAGTCAGTACCGTACGTAGTACCGTAGCACCGTAGCCGATTCCGAAAAAAACAAACGATGCAAACCATCTACCTACCACCCGACCTGAAGCGAACCAACCCAACCCAACCCAACCCAACCCATTCCATCCCAACCCAATCGATGAGAATCGTCCCGGAGAAGAGCCCGTCCGCCGCTCAGGAGATTATTAATAGTCCGCGCACGGACTATTCGCGAATTGAAAATATCTTTCTTATAATTCTGACTACGTATGATCATGATGATGATTATTATTATGATGTTTTCCCCCCCCTATTTGGGTCCCCCAAGCGTTTCAGGACTCGCCCGTCCCAAGGCCGCCGTTCCCGCTTCCGCTCCCCGCTCCCGCTCCCGCTCCCGGAATGGAATGGAATGGAACTGCACTGCACTGAACACCCCCATGGCCGAGCCGAGAACTAGGTACCTACCTACCTTAGGTAGGTAACTGACATTCAGCAAGCGGAATGGGGAATTGAGGCTACGTACGGTAGGTACGGTACGTACGTATGTTCGTTTCTGCTACGGCTTCCTTCCCGACCTCCTACAGACCCGTTCCCTTTTTTTAAAAAAAAATAAAAAAAATAAAAATAAAAAAAAATAAAAAATAAAAAATAATAATAA